ATTTCAGCCCAAGACAATTTAGAAGGTCTGCAGGAAAGGTCTGTCTCACCAGGATGTGAGTGGAGTGCAGTCCAGGGCAAGCCACCCCTGTCAAGCCAGCAGCAGACCTTTGGGGGCAAATGAATTGGTGGAAGTAGGGTGGCTTCTGGATCTCTCAGCCCACTGAGGATAACAAGGTTGGACACCAGGTCAGAAGAAGATTGCAAGGGTCCCTTTGTTGGCACTGGATGTAGGACTCAGTTGCATTGTTTATAAGTGGTTCCAGGTTGCAATACTAGTGCAAGGGGAAGCATTAGCAGGAGCAGGGACCCTGGTCACAGTTTCAGGGCAGAAAAGAGTGCTTGTGATTGTTCACAGACCAGAGCAAATGCCAGGAGAGCAGTGACCACACTTCTCCTTAGATCTTACCACCTTGGAATAACCAAAAAACTACAGATCCCCAAAGCTATCTCTGAAAACAGTAGCACAAAAAAACCTGAAGCTTGAGACAGTGACCCCTCCACTCTGAGAGCAGAGCCCCAACTTTAACATAAAGTTGAAAGTTATGAAAAATGCTGGAAAGTTGAGCAAACAACAACAAAAAAGAACCTGATTGTAGAAAGTTATTATGGTGACGGAGAAGATCTGAACAAAAACTCAGAAGACAACAGTGTCAAAACAGCTATATTCAAAGCCTCAAAGAGAAATGTGAATTGGTCTAAGGCCAAAAAAGAATTCTTGGAAGAGTTCAAAAAGGATTTCACAAATCAAATAAGAGAGGTAGAGGAAAAAATTTGAAAAACAAATGAGAGTGATGCAAGAAAATCAATGAAAAAAGAGTCAAAATCTTGATAAAAGAGGCCCCCAAAAATATTAAAGAAAATACCTTAAAAATCAGAATTGGTCACATGGAAAAGGAGGTGCAAAAGCTCACTGAAGAAAATAATTTCTTAAAAGTTGAATTGGGCAAGTGGAAGCTAATGACTTTATGAGACATCAAAAAACAATCAAATAAAATCAAAAGAATCAAAAAAAGAGAATTATTGGACTAATTGAGATCCATGATCAAAAAAGAACCTAGACATCACATTTCAAGAATTGTCAAGGAAACCCTCCCCACCATATCCTAGAATCAGAGGGTGAAGGAGAAATTGAAACAATCCACTAATCACTTCCTGAAAGAGATTCCAAAATAAAACTCCCAGGACTATTATAGCCAGTTGAAGGAGAAAACAGTGCAAGCATCCAGAAAGAAACCATTGAAATATTGTGGAGCCACAATCAAGATAACATGAAGTTTAACAGCTTCAACATTAAAGGATCTGAGGGCTTGCAATATGATATTCAGGAAGAAACAGAGCTAGGATTATAACCAAGATTCACCTACTTAGCAAAACTGAGTATAATCCATCAGGGGAAAAAATGGATATTCAATAAAATGAAGGACTTTCAAGGAGCTAATAGCTAATCATAATAAGCTAAATAGCTAAATCATTCACAGTTGATCATCATACAGTATTGCTGTTACTGTGTACAATGTTCTCCTGGTTCTGCTTACTTCACTGTGCATCACTTCACGTAAGTCTTTGCAGGTTTTTCTACTTCCTCATCACTTCTTACAGCACAATAGTATTCCATCACAATCATATACCAGCCATTGTTCAGCCATTCCCCAATTGATGGACATCCCCTCAATTTCCAATTGCTTGCCACCACAAAAAGAGTTGCTATAAATATCTTTGTACATGTGGGTCCTTTCCCCATTTTTATGATCTCTTTGGGATATAGCCCTAGAAGTGCTATTGCTGGGTCAAAGGGAACATTTATCATTTTCTTTTTCTGTCATATTAGTCAATTTGATAAGTGTGAGGTGGTACCTCAGAATTGTTTTAATTTGCATTTCTTTAATCAAAGTGATTTAGAGCATTTTTTCATATGACTATATATAGCTTTGATTTTTTTTCATCTGAAAACTGCCCGTTCATAATCATTTGGCTATTTATCAATTGGCGAATGATTTGTATTCTTATAAATTTGACTCAGTTATCTATATATTTGACAAATGAGGCTTTTATCAGAGCTACTTGCTGTAAAAATAGTTTCCCAGCTCTCTGTTTTCCTTCTGTGAAGGGAATTATGATTTTCATATTAATCAATATGATATGTGTAATGAACATACTAATAATTTAGATTCCTCAGATTCTGGCTTGGGAGTTACAGAAGCTTACAATACAGCTTGAAATGATCAATCAAACCCCTGACAATGCTCTCACAATCACTACATTCCTACACCTGCATACCTTAACTGGATCAAATCAAAGATCTAGAACCTGTTCCTATCACAAAACTCTGGTCCTGTGCCCCTCCCCATTCCCCCGGGGACTTGAAGCAATGCTGTTCCCACAGAAAGCCAAAACACCTTTATTGGTGGGCTTGTCCCGGGAAACCACTCAGCCTCTGGAAATGACTGTTTGTAATTCACCTTTCCCCTCCCTTCCCACTTATGATTTATGTATAGAATTTCTGCCTTCAGTATAGCAAGTGGAATTCTGATCAGGAGAATTCCCAACTTGCAGGTCTGTTCCTCATAATGAAACTAATTAATTAAACAGCTACTTGATTACTGGCACCTTTCCTCTGGCCTGCTCTGTCTTGTCATTCCCAGGTTAGAGACTGGCTCATTAAAATTCTGTCAACACTTCTAATCTTGGTTTGCATTGGTTTTATTTGTGCACAACCTTTCATATTTAATATAATCAAAATTATCCACTTTGCATTTTGTTTACTATCTTGTTTGGTCTTAAATTCTTCCTTTCTCCATAGATCTGACAGGTAAACTATTCCTTACTATCCTAATTTGCTTATGGCATCACCCTTTATCTCTAAATCATGTATCCATTTTGACCTTATGTTGATATGTGGTATAAGGTCTTGGTTAATACCTAGTTTCTGTAAAATTTGACTTTCAAATAAAAGACTCAAGAAGCATAAAAAGGAAAACAGGAAAGAGGAAACATAAGTGATTCAATAAAGTTAAACTGTTTACCTTCCTACATGGAAAGATGATACTTGTAACTCATAAGAACTTCATCATTATAAAGGCAGTTAAAGGAGTAGACAGAGAGAGGGCACAGGTATGACGTGACTTGTTTATACATAGTGGTTTGAATGTTGTCTCCCGTATTAGACTTTGAGTTTCTCGAAAATAGGGACTTATTTTTACCTTTCTATGTATTCCCAGCACTTAGCACACTGCCTATCAGATGTTTAATAAATTCTAGTTGAATGACTGATTTCACAACCTGGACTCTGACTGATGTTTCTGGAGCTGCTCTGGTTCATCTTCACCACCTTACATTAGGAGATGCATTGTGAACTGCAAAGATGCAGCATCACCTACCACATGGACTAGACTACAGACATTTGAGACTTGGTCTTCCTGAAGGGAGGAGGAAAATTCTATTATTTCTAACTCAGCCTCCCCTCCCTGTCCCACCCCACTCTAGTACTGTCATTAAAGGGAGCTTAGTTTAAAGGAATTAGTCCTTACTGTAATACCAGAAGCTTACTTTTGGTTTCCTATCTTACTAGAGATGAAAGAAAAACTAGAAGTGTCTGAGACAGACAATTTGGCCTAGAGCCTAAGCTGTGTTCTTTCTCATAGTTGTTTTTTTTTAAACTCATACTTTTTCACTTTTTTGATAAAAACTGGGCACCACCTGTAAGGTGTAGCTAATTTAAAGACTGAGAAAAGGGTTTTCTGCCTTTAAAGAAATAGGAGATATTGTTCACTTCTTCAGCAGGAACTGAGGCAGAAAAAGGAGCCTGCTAGAGAGAGAGAATAAGTAGTTATTCTCTCTCTGAAATTGTCCCTACTACTATCATTGTTATACATTAGCTCTCTTTATATACTAATATGCATTAGTGTATTAATAGCTTTCCTTACAATGAAAAAAGCTGAGCTCCCATTTAAACTCTCCCCTGCCTTTGTCTGTCTCTCTCCCCTCTCCCTCCCATGTGAATTCATTTTAATGTTTTTAGATCTCTTACATATCCTCTTATCTCTATTTTATGCTACTTTGGGTTTTGCTTATTTAGCGGTTGGAAATCCTAGAGAAGTTGGACTTTAAGATACAAATGATTCTTTCCCTTTCTCTCCTTCCCATGATCTGGCCCTCACTTACAGAAACATACAACTTTTAAAAAGGTAAAAAGTAGGTAGATGCTTAGGACCAGCTAGGTGGTGCAGTGGATAGACTACTGGGCCTGAAGTCTGGAAGATTCATCTGATGGAGTTCAAATATGGCCTCAGACAACTTACTAGCTGTGTGACCCAGGGCACACAGTTTGCCTCAGTTTCCTCATCTGTAAAATGAGCTGGAGAAGGAAACGGCAAACCACTCCAGGATTTTTGCCAAGAAAATCCTAAATGGGATCACAAAGAGTCAGAGACTACTGAAACGACTTAACAGGCAGATGCTTATAGTTATATAATCCAGGTCACAGTGGTCTTGTAGTAGTGGTATTAGCAGGATTAAGATTTACAGCTGGGCTCTAAGGAAGCCTGCAATTTAACTTTATGGGGCCGGAGCACACTCAGAAGCACACTACCAGGTCCTCTTCCCTGCTCATCCTTGACCTTTTCGGTGACCTTTTAAGTTATCCCACCACTAGCTACATTGTTTCTTTAGCATCAGTTCCACTCCAGCTAACTTCCACCAGCTCTTTCCTTCAACTCAGCTAAGGCCTGTTTAGGCCATTCTTCACAACTCAAGCCCCGGTCCTCCCCGGGTCCTCCCCGGTCCTCCCCGCCACGCCCTCCGAGCCGCTGCACAACCAGGTCAGACGCAGCGAGACCGAAGCCCGGGGCCAGGCAGCGCAGTTACGGACGCTTCAGGACTGGCGAAGGGGCAAGCGGCAGGATCCACGCCCCGCGCGCCGTCCAGCCAATCCAGAGCCCCGAGGAACGAGGAGCGCGAGGCGGCGACGGCTCGCCCGCGGAGCTGCGCGTGCGCGGTGACGTCTGTGTTTCGTTAGGCCGCGTGGACTGAAAGCAGGCTTGGCCCGAGGCGGTGGGCGGAGACCAAGAGGGAGGCCCCGGAAGACGGACTGCTCGGTGGAGGTTCCGATGGCGGGCATGACGCTCGGAAGGGCTTGGCAGCAGATGTCTTGGTTCTATTACCAGTATCTGCTCGTCACCGCGCTCTACATGCTGGAACCCTGGGAGAGGACCGTCTTCAGTATCCTGCTCGATTGGCTGCGGGGGCGGGCGGTGAGGGCCTTGGAGGTGGGGGGGCGCGCGCTGATGAAAGCCAGATTCGCGGCGGGAAGGAGGCTGTGGGACCTGAAGGGGCCGGGCTCGCCGAATGGCGGAGAGAGTCGTCTGAGGTGGAGCTGTGGGGAGAAACCTAGGCTAGACAGCCAAGCGTCGGCCTGTAAGTGCGTGGAAGAGCGTGGTGGGCACCTGTGGAAGAGAGGGCCTGGAGCCGGGGGGCGGGGGGGGGCGGTGCTTGCGTCCTGGTGGCGGATACAGCTGAGCTTGGGGAGGGGAGGGGAGGAGAGGAGCGAGGGTGACCTGTGAGAAAACGTCCAGGCAAGTGAAGGAGCTGTGGAGAGCTTAGGTTCGTGTGGTCGGGGGGAAGGTATCCTGCTTTCCTGCTATGTGTGTGTGTGTGAGTGTGAGAGGGGCAGAGATTTGTCTCTTGTAGTGCAACACCATTTAAGTCAACCTCTTTATTTTTTAAACGCGTAGCAGATTATTTCTCTGCTGCTGGTTTATAGTATAATTTGAAATGTGGTACTGCTAGGCCCCCTTCCATCTCACTCTTCATTGTTTCTCTTGAGTTTCTTGATCTTTTGTTCCTTTAGGTGAATTTTTGTAGCTGTTTAAAATAACCTCTTGGTAGTTTGATTGCTGTGGCCCTAAATAAAGTAATTTAAATATTACTCACGTTTGTATTGGCTCAGTGTACACACGAGCAATTCATTCTTCCATTAACGCAGGTCTGACATTATTTTCATAATGAACGTTTAGTGATTGTAGTAATTTAGTTCCTTTGTGTGCCTTGGTAGGTAGACTTATAAGTATTTTATGTGTTCTGTAGCTATTTTAAATGAAATCTCTTATTATGTTGTGTTGATAATATGCAGGAATGCTGGTGATTTCTTATACCTGAAAACTTTGCTGAAATTACTAATTTTTTTAGTCGATGCTAAGGGTCTCTAAGTAAACCATCATATCATCTGCAGAAAACAGTCATTTTCTTTCCTCTTTGCCTGTGCTTATTCTGTTCATTTCTTTGTCTTATTGCTATAGCTAGCATTTCTTTGATGGTGATGATAGACACCCTTGCTTTATCCCTGGTCTTATTGGAAAGACTTCTACTTTATTCTCATTACATATAATGCTGGTTCTTATTTTGAGATACTGTTTGTTATTTGAGGAAAGTCCCATTTATTCCCATATTTTTTAACATTTTTTTAAACAAGAATGGCTGTTATGTCTTGTTTGAAGCGTTTTCTGTTTCTGTTGATATAATCACATGATTTTTGTTCTGATTTTTTTAATATTTTTATTAATAAATTTCTTTTTTTCAGCATTGACTTCCACAAGATTTTGAGTTACATATCGTCTTCCCATCTCTCTCCTCCCCTCACCCCAAGATGACATGCTTTCTGAATACCCCTTCCCTCAGTCTGTCCTCCCTTCTATCACCACCCAAACTTCTCTTATTCTCTTCCACTTCTCTTTTCCTGTAGGGCAGAATAGATTCTATACCCCTTTGCCTGTGTATCTTATTCCCTACTTGCATGTAAAAACAATTTTTAACATTTTTTAAAAAACTTTGAGTTCCAGATTCTGTCTCATCCTCCCTCCCCATTCACCCTCATTGAGAAGGCAAGCACTTCTTTATAGGGATAGTAGTCATGTTGTGAAAGACACGACTGTATTTCCCTCCATCCTATCCCACCCCCATTTATTCTCTCCTTTGACCCTGTCCCTCCTCAAAAGTGTTTGCTTCTGATTACCCCCTCCTTTCTATCATCTCTCCCTCTTTTATTCCCTTCCTCCCTATTTTCCTGTAGGGTAAGATAGATTTCTGTACCCAGATAGGAGTAAGATTCACTCATTCCCTCTCACCTCCCGTCTTTTCCCTCCACTGTAAAAGCTTTTTCTTGCCCCTTTTATGTGAATAATTTACCCCATTCTACCTCTGCCTTTCTCCTTCTCCCTCTACAATCCTCTCTCTCCCATTAATTTTATTTTTTAGATGTCATCCCTTCATATTCAACTCACCCTGTGCCCTCTGTCTATCTCTCTGTCTGTCTGTCTGTCTATCTATCATCCCTCCTACTACCCTAATACTGAGAAAGGTCTCTTGAGTTACAAATATCATCTTCCCATGTAGGAATGTAAACAGTTCGACTTTCATAAGTCCCTTATGATTTCTCTTTCCTATTTACCTTTTCATGCTTCTCTTGAGTCTTGTATTTGAAAGTCAAGTTTTCTGTTCATCTCTGGTCTTTTCATCAAGAATGTTTGAAAGTCCTCTATTTCATTGACTGTCCATGTTTTCCCCTAAAGGTTTATACTCATTTTTGCTGAGAAGGTGATTCTTGGTTTTAATCCCAGCTCCTTTGACCTCTGGAATATCATATTCCAAGCCCTCCAGGCTCTTATTGTAGAAGCTACTAAATCTTCTATTATTCTGATTGTGTTTCCACAATACTTGCATTGTTTCTTTCTGGCTGCTTACAGTATTTTCTCCTTGACCTGGAAACTCTGGAATAATATTCCTAGGAGTTTTCCTTTTGGGATCTCTTTCAGGTGATTGGTGGATTCTTTCAATTTCTATTTTACCCTCTGGTTCTAGAATATCAGGGCAGTTTTCCGTGATAATTTCTTGAAAGATGATGTCTAGGCTTGCGCTCTCTCTCTCTCTCTCTCTCTCTCTCTCTCTCTCTCTCTCTCTCTCTCTCTCTCTCTCTCTCTCTCTCCCTCTCTCCCTCCCTCTCCCCTCTCCCTCTCTCTCTCTCTCTCTCTCTCTCTCTCTCTCTCTCTCTCTTTTTTTAGGCAGTTGGGGTTAAGTTGACTTGCCCAGAGTCACACAGCTGGTAAGTGTTATGTGTCTGAGGCTGGATTTGAACTCAGATCCTCCTGACTTTAGGGCCAGTGCTCTGTCTACTCTGCCATCTAGCTGCCCCCTAGGCTCTTTTTTTGATCGTGGTTTTCAGTTAGTACAATAATTTTTAAATTATCTTTCCTGGATCTGTTTTCCAGGTCATTATTTTTCCAATGAGATATTTCACTGTGTCTTCTATTTTTTCATTCTTTTGGTTTTGTTTTATAATTTCTTTATTTCTCTTAGAGTCATTAGCTTCCATTTGCTCCATTTTAATTTTTAAGGACTTATTTCCTTCAGTGAACTTTTGGACCTCCTTTTCCATTTGGCCAGTTCTGCTTTTTTAAGGCATTCTTCTCATTGGCTTTTTGGACCTCTTTTGCCATTTGGGTTAGTCTATTTTTAAAGGTCTTATTTTCTTCAGTATTTTTTGGGGTCTCCTTTAGCAAGCTGTTGACTTACTTTTCATGATTTTCTTTGGGTCTCCTTTAGCAAGCTGTTGACTTGTTTTTCATGATTTTCTTGTATCAGTCTCATTTCTCTTCCCAGTTTTTCCTCTAGTTCTCTTATGTTGCTTTTCAAAATCCTTTTTGAGCTCTTCCATGGCCTGAGACCATTTCATGTTTCTTGGAGGCTTTGGATGTAGGACCTTTGATTTGGTTGTCTTCTAAGTATGTGTTTTGATCTTCCTTGTCACCATAGTAACTTTCCACAGTCAGTTTTTTCCCCATTGTTTGCTCTTATTCCCAGCCTATTAGTTGACTTTTATTGAACCAGCTCTGCATTCCTTATATAAATCGTGCTTTGTCACTGTGTATTATTCTCGTGTTAAGTTGCTGTAATTTCTTTGCTAATATTTTATTTAAAATTTTTACATCAATATTCATTAGGGAAATCGGCCTGTATTTTTCTTTCTCTGTTTTGGCTCTTCTTGGTTTAGGTATCGGCATCATACTTGTATCATAAGTAGGATTCCTTCTTCAACTGTTTTCCTAAATAGTTTATACAGTATTGGAATTAATTGTTCTTTGTATGTTTGATAGAATTCACTTGTAAATCTGTCTGGCCCTAGAGATTTTTTCCTAGGAAGTTCATTGATAACCTTGTTCAATTTTTTTTTTTTTGCTTTTTGGTGAACAGTCGGGGTTGAGTGACTTGCCTAGGGTCATACAGCTAGTAAGTGTCAAGTGTCTGAGGCCAGTTTTGAACTCAGGTCCTCCTGACTCCGAGACTGGAGTTCTATCCACTGTGCCACCTAGCTGCCTCTCAATTTCTTTTTCTGAAATGGAATTATTTAAGTCTTTTACTTCCTCATCCATTGTCTAGGCAATTTATATTTTTGTAAATTTTCATCCATTTCACTAATATTGTCAAATTTATTGGTGTATAGTTGGGCAAAATAGGTCCTAATTATTGTTTTAATTTCCTCTTCATTGGTAGTGACTTCACCCTTTTCATTTTTGATACTGATAATTTGGTTTTCTTCTTTTCTTTTTTTTAAATCAAATTAACCGAAGGTTTATCTGTTTATTGTGTTTTTTTTTAATAAAACTAGCTCATTTTATTTATTCAGTAGTTTTCTTAATTTCAATTTTATTAATCCTTTGGTTTTCAGGATTTCTAATTTGGTATTTGATTGGGGCTTTTTAATTTGTTCTTTTTCAAACTTTTTTAGTTGCATACCCAATTGATTGATCTCTTCTTTTTCTATTTTATTCATGTAAGCATTGTGAGATATAAAATTTCCCGTAAGAACTGCTCTGGCTGCATCCCATAAGTTATTGATTGTTTCTATGGTTTGTTGTTTGACCCACTCATTGTTTAGGATTTGATTATTTAGTTTCTAATTAACTTTAATCTATCTTTCCATGGCCCTTTATCACATGTAATTTTTATTTCATGTTGATCTGAAAAGGATGCATTTAATATTTCTGCCTTTCTGCTTTGGATTGTGAGGTTTTTATACCCTAACACATCATGAATTTATGTGTAGGTTCCTTGTACTGCTGAGAAAAAGGTATATTCCTGTCTATCCCCATTCAGTTTTCTCCAGAGGTCTACCATATCTAACTTTTCTAAAATTCTATACACCTCCTTAATTTCTTTCTTAATTATTT